CATTGCAGCACCCAATGGGCAGGCTCAGCAGAAAGGTCCTTTTGAACTATATCTCATTATTTTCCCCTTTTGCTTCTGAACCCTTAAAGTCCCTGTCAGCAAGGGTTTAGTTGAAGCCTTGCAACTTGCCTTTTGTCTTCCACAAATGATCGAGCTATGCCCCGGGGAACAAATGCCATTTTAATGGGCATTGTTGTGTAATTCATTACATAAGTCACCTCTGTGTTCAAAGGACTCGTGGCACAAATGGCAGGAGCAGTTGATTAAAAATGTGCACCATAGCTTCATTATGACATGGGGAGAAATGTCTGTTATTTTTAATCCAGTGGCTTTTAAATGTCTGCATCCAGCAGAGACCCAAATGGCCTTTAAAAGGGGGCTGCTGGGTAAGATTTTAGACTTCTTCATTCTTTGTAACAAGCCTTGAGAATCAGTTCAAGCTGCAAAATGAACTTTAGCCCCCTTTTTTTTAAGGCTTTCTCTTTCTAAAGCTGCAGGGTTGCCGCATGTGAACATGTACAGAATGGGAGAGGACGGAGGGTTTCATTTTTCAGGTGTGGGATAGAAAAGATCCTGTATTCTGAAGCTTAAGAAAAAAAAAAAAAGTACATTTTCATTTTTGATGGGTATGATGCAAACGCTGGCCAAGCTGAACGGTCAAATAGTGCATTGCTGTGGCTGGAGCCTGCCTGTCACTGAGCAGCACGCAAACATCTCCACATGCCCAGAAGCAGACTTGGGGATTTCCTTCTCTCTCCGAAGGTTCCCTCAGCTGCGGGTGGGAGATGGCCTGCTCTCTGCTCTGAGCTCTGCACAGTGCTGAGCTTTCACTTTGACTTCAGAGCGAGCAGTATGCTGCCAGGCTGGGCTGCTGGAATTCACCAGCATGTGTGTTTTGACTTTAGTTTCTAGTGGTTTTTTGAACCTGAGAGGAAAACAACCATTTCTCTATGCTAGTAGTGCTGCAGACGCAGGGCTTTGACTTGCTGGCTTTCCCCTAAGCAGTCTAGTTTCTTCACACACAGGCACACAGACCAGTTATCAGCCTTTCTTTGTGCCTCTTATTCCCGTCTGGTTTGCAATCCTCATCACACCCAGCTTTGCCAGCGCACTGCGAGCAGCAGGGCCGTGTTGTGGGGCTGGGCTGTGGGGCTGCAGTGTGGCCAGCAGCAGGGCCATCAGTGCACACCCTAAAGGAGGTTCCTGAGGTCGGTGTGTGGTCAGAGCCCAGGCACGTGCTGACCTGGGGGAGATGGGCTTCAGAGCCATGCGAGGCCGTGACTCAACAGCTGGAGCGTGTTCAAACACAACAGCACAGGAGCCTTTTTAATAGGGGAATGGAACTAGCTGTGAAGCGGGTGATGTATGAAAGCTTCCAGTCAGGAATTGAGAAACTCGAATCCATAGTAAAGTAATTTTGAAGGGATTTTTTCTTTTTCCGGTGCTGTGCAGCAGCAAGGCATCCAGACAGATGAAATAGGAGGGGATGGGAAGTTGCTTTGTGACAGAGGTGCTTTGATACAACAGGGTCTTTTTTCCCCATTCCAGTTGAAATCACTACATCCAGCTTCTTACCCTGCCTTTTCCCATTCATCTTATTCATATTTGGACTCTGTAGAAGTGTGGATACTGGGTACCCCATTCTGCCCTCAGAGTGAAGGAGAAGCTCAGGAGGCTGGTGCTGTTATTCAGTGAAACTCTGCCAATTCCTCATCAATAGGAGGAGGGAGTAATTTGATAGAACAGTCTCTGATGGGCAGATTCCCAGGCTCAGGAACAGCCTCAATGCTGCGTTAAGGAGTCTGGTTACAGCAGACAGGCAGGAAGGTGCAGAGGGACAGGATAAGTGTTTGGAGCTCTGTCGTGGCTCTGTTTTCTTCTCTGTGTACATTATCAAATTATTTGATCAGTGAAGGCATGCTGTGCCGTTTGAACTTTTAACTGGACAGGCATAGCATGCTGCATACTTGAATGAATACTGAATGAAGAAAGTGAGCTTTTAAAAGCAGAGGTAACCGACCTAGGCAGCCTTGCACAGCTGTGCTTTTTATAGGCAGGTTTTAGCCCTCCTCTGTAAAAGCTTTGGTCACTTGCAGCTTTGATCTAAAATACTTTCCTATCTCAGTGCAACTTCTTTGAGACCACTTCATCCAAATTCATTACTATGCAAACTCTGTTTATAACGCTTGCCTGGTAACCCTAAAGCCTATCATGCTAAATGTCTATTGGCATTCAGTGAATATCATAGAATCCTTAGAGTTGGAAGGGACCTTTAAAGGTCATCTAATCCAATATAATCACAGCTCTACAGCTTGACTCATGAATATGGGGAGGGGGACCGGGGTTTGCAGTGTGATTTTTATATTTGGAAATTGAGAGATTCTGCACCTGAATCATTGAGTGACTCTATGCTCTGTTTAGACAAGTTGTTTCACCTTCACAGATGTGCCAAACAAAGTTAAGACCCAACTGTTTAAGGATGATGGGCTTGCAACATGCTTGGAAAAAGATGAGACCTATTTTAAGTGCCAAGTGCAACTGAGTCTGAGAGAATGAGCTTGTGACTCATTTGGTTAACTACAGATGCATCAGAAACTTACGAGCAGATGAGATCTGGAAAATGCTTATTGTAGTTGTAAGGACAGTAATAAAAAGCTGCACAAATGTGTGGTTGTCAAAGTAGGTCTTAACGGGGTTGCTCAAACAATAACCTTTATTTCTGCATCTGGCAGCTGTTTTACTTTAGTTAGTACTATTTTAAGGAGTTCCCATTCTGCTTCCACTTGTTCCTTTCCTGGCTCTGCAAGCCTCTGTTCCCTCAGAGTGCTGCCATGCAAATGATTCAGCATTTGGTGTGATGGAAGGGGAAGAAAGTGCAGGGCAGTGGGTGGGCTGGTGGCAGTAGTGAAGGGGATCTGCTGTTGGCAGAAGAATAGATTTCCCCGTGGGCAACACATTGCTCTGAAGCTGCTGGCCATGCACCCGCTGCTGAGCAAAGTTGGGTAGAGATGGCTGATGGGAAGAGGAAATGGAAATTGCAGTCTTCTGAAACCTTCCTGCTTTCTTGCCTCTACAGGGCTAAATTATCAGTGTAAACAAGCAAGGAGCAAGGGTTTTTTCCCCCTCAGACAAACAGTTTGATCTTGCTGCTGCACGTGGAGGAGCCAGACTTAATTTGTTGCTGCTACCGTAATTTCTCTATAGATTAATTATTTTAACCGTTTGCCACTCCTTTCCAAAATGAAGTCTGAGCCATGACTTCTCATCCTGCATATCTACAATGTATGAAAGTTCTCCCATCATGTACCAAACAATTACTTTTTTACGGCGTATGAGGGCAGCCAGGCACTGTTTTCAGTGGTGACCTTCAACACTGTGGAGCCGGAGAGGTTTTAAAGGTTTGGAGATTCCCATGTGGATGTAAAGCAATGACGTAAATTGTTGCTAAGTTGGGGTGCCAGCTGCTACCAGTGATTCCTCAGAGTCCACCTGATACCTCTGGGTTTATCTGCAGTGACCAGTGTTTGTAGTGCCTCCCTCAGTGCGTAGAACAGGACTCTGTACTGCAAAGAGAGCTTCGAGAACCCTGTAAGCAGGGAACAAGTCTGCAGCCAGACAAGATGAGAACTGAAGCTTCCATTAATAGGGTGCCTGCAAAATTTTTGATCCAGAGGACCCAACTAAGTGGAGTTTTGGCTCCAGTGAGGGTGTTAATAGCAGGGTCTTAATGCCCTGCCTGGTAAAAGTTGAAGGGGAGACAGCCATAAGGGGGGACCAGCACAGGTTCTTTCCTTCGAGTTGTGGTTGGGTGATTTCTGGGTATTAGGAGTGGTGTTCACGCTGCAGTGTGGTATTCAGCTTCAGGGTGCTAGATTTGACTCAGCGGCATTTTCTAATTGCAGTCTGCATGCTAACGAGGTGGTGCCGTGCTGCACGTGGGGACTGGGTCGTTCTGACTCCCTGCAGCCAGTGCAGCCAATTCCGAAATAGTGTAAAAAAAAAAAGAAACGTACAGCAGAACTGCTTACTTTTCGTGGTGAGGTAGTTAAAGGTAAGTTCAGTGTCTTTGGCTGAAGTATTTTGGTCACTAGAGAGGCAGTTCAAACCTTCATTTATTAAAGTACTGCTTGCTTAAAATACATTCTAAATTGCTTTCAAGGCAGCATAGTTTTATCTAGCTTGCTGGATAAACAGAAAAAGACATCTTTCACCAGTAAGTTTGCGTGTGGCATGACTGCAAACCTTTGAGACTTCTTTTAGATGATCAGAAAACTTTGAAAAGACAAGCTTTTCAGAAGGACTGAGTGGTTCCGTAATAAACCTCCTTTGAGGATGCACCAATATTGAAGCTATCCCCTCTGTCCACGTGGTTTGTGTTGGTACATTTGGCGTGTAATCTGCTGTGAATGGCTGGGACTGGTACTTTCCTTCATATAGTTCATGCAGCCCCAACCAAAGGCAGTGCTGCCAAGTGAACAGAGCTAGGGACCAGCAGCCTGTGAAGGGCAGTAGGTCAGCCTGTGTTTTTCAGTCCTGGTACCTGCTTGGTGGCTCCTTGACCCCAGCAAGGCTCAGGAACCCAGGTTCCTTCCCTGCTCTGAGTACAAGCCACTTCATCCCCTTGACTTTATTTCCTCGTGTGCAAGAGAGGGATGGTGGTTACCTCCTTCATAAAGTACTTTGGGATTTGCTTGGGCTGAGTGCTTTTGAGAGATGTGTTTTTCCTTTTCTCTACAAGGCACAGAGGAATAGGATCCTGCTGTTCCTGCCTTGGCACTTCAGTATTTCTGCCTCCATGGGGAAGCAGGAAATGGTGGTCATATTGCGGTTGCAAACATAATAGAGTCACAATTTTTTTTTTTTTAATCCTGTTCCACTCAACAAATTAACATGGTTGCAATGTTTTTCATAGGCTGGTTTCCCAGATAATGCTGTAGCACAACTTTCCTGTTTTCAGCCAGTTTACCCTAACCTTGTAATGCTTTTCTGTGTCTTTCTAGATTCTGAGCGTTCCCATCTCTCCTCGTTCACCATGAAGTTGAAGGGCAAGTTTCATTCACCAAAAATAAAGAGAACTCCTTCCAAGAAGGGAAAGCAAGCTGACCTGACAGTGAAAACACCAGAGAAGTCAGTGAACAAAGTAAGCAAATGAAGAGCATCTTCTATTAGTCTTGCTGGTTTCTTGCTTTCTGTTACTCAGGTTTTTAAAATCTACAGTTCTGCTTTCAGTCTGTGACTTTGTCCTATGCAGAATTCTGCAGATATGTCAGGGAACATCAGGATGCTTTATGGTTTGTTTTAAACTGTGTTATGTAGTGTACAATGAGATGTATTTTCTTTTTGAGTTGCTGATGAGGCCTCCTTCCATCATTGTTTAAATATCTCATTACAGAATGTAGTTTAATGGTTGACATAGTTTCCCAACATGCACACCCTATGATTATGCTTACAGCTTCCAGTTCACTGCCTGGTTTTGGGGTGTGATCTTCTTAAAAATCCAAAACCCTGGCGAGCAAATCCTTGAAGCTTGTCCAAAGATGTGCTCAATCTCTAATGACGTCAGCAGGGAGAGTCAAGCAGATGCCTTCAAGGAGCAGCTGATTCCAGCACACCATTCCTCACATCCAGTGCACTTCAGTCCCTGTAAGAGCTGAGCTCACCACTCCTTCCCACCACAAACACACATCAAAGTGTTATCTCTTCTGTTGTTATGGCCTGATTATGTAGAATAGAGGCTATCTCTCTAACAGTAATGTTGCAATACATTTTCAAGTACAAATTAAGCCAAAAGTTAAGAACAGCCGAGGTTATGTGTGATAATTCAGAGTCTTTCCCAGTTGTTATTGAAAGCCTCCAATATGCAGTGCCAGACGTGCAAACTCTTTGGATTATCTGCTCTGAGGACTGCTGTGCTGTTACTATGAGCAGTCAGCAATGTACAGCTGTCTTACACTGTGTGATGTGCTTAGCATCCAGGGAAGTGGCTGCGGAACTTCATGGTTCTGCCCTATCATACAGGAAAGGATGAGGCTGTAGTTTCTTTCTGTAGGAGGCAACAGATAGCTTTCCAGGGAGCTGAGCACATTGCATTGCCCCACATGCATACCAGACTGCTGCCAGAAGTCTGAGAGCACTCTCTGAAGGCTTTTAGTTCCAGCAGTGTTTGAAGATGGTATGTTAAGATCAATTCAGAGGCATATCTTGTAGAACGTACTTTTGCTCTAAAAATGCATTGGGCCATTTTACTGGGAAGTTTTCTCCCAGTGTTATTTTTACTGATTGATTTACTAAAACGCACGTAGAAAATGCAGAAGTCTTTCCTTTAAAGTGATGTGTGACCACAAATTAAAGAAATTATAAAATGAAGAGCCATCTTCAAAATGCTGTTCTGTGGCAAATACATAGTAGCATTTTTTTATCTACAGAATGGGATTTTTTTTAATTGGAAATCAAAAGACTTGCAATCATTTTATTATTGTAGACAATTATTTCAGCTGTATACATTTTGTACTGTGAAATATTGATTTCTGGTGTTGTCCTTATGTAATTTAATAGCCACAGTCCAGCTAATCAATTAGTTGGAAATAGCTCATCATCAGCTTAGTGTGGAGGGGAGTGGAGAAGAGGATGTGCCTCAACTGTCACCAGGGTCCCTCACTGGAACACAGAGATGTCTTGACAAATAAGAGATTTTGTGTCAGAAGATGCACTTGCTATACTAAATAATCCTTTCCTTCCTCTCAAGTTCTGGGTGCTATTTTTATGCTCTTGAAGTAGATAATCGCTCTACAGCAGAAATAGCAATACTAAAAATTAGTGCAAGATCGCTGCACGGAACCTGAAGGTTGTGCTCAATGTGCATGCTCCTCTTCTTCCCTTTTATACCTGGATGTGGCAAAAATATTTTTCAGAGCCTGTTTCTGTGCTGGGCCATCTTTGATTCTAATCCGAGGACGTACTGTAGTGTCCTTCAACACTGCTGTTGCACAGTTAGGATGGAATTTTTACTGGTAAACTGTGGGGAAAGAAGTGACTTGTTACTGCTTCTGTCAGTGGTTGCATGGCCCTCTGTAACCCATCTGCATTTCATATGTGATGCATTTGTAATGAAAGGGAAAACCTTTTAAATTCATGCAAAAATAAATATCTGTATGTGTCAAGTAGGCAGGAAGGTGGAGAGGAGATGCTGTGATGCTTGAATGATCTCCTCTACTGTCCATCTGGGACGTTGCTGAAGCAAGTGGTAGCACTGCTCTAGGAGCTCCTGCAGCCACAGATCTGCTCCATCACAGGGGGATACAGCCATGGGGGCAAGCTCACCTCTGCTGAGGAATTCAATGAGAGATTACTTCCAACTCTTCTCTCCAGCCCAGAAAGATTGCATCCTATGTTTACTTTGGCTTTAAGGACACACTGAAAAAAACCTTCAGCCTCGTAGCAACAAGTGACACTTATGTATTTGAGCTCTGTAACAGAACCTGCCATTCTTGCAGGACACGCAGGCTTTTTTTGTGTATGTCTGTGTGTCTGTTCTCTCACATGGATACAAGGTCTTTGGACCTGAGAAAGAGATGCATGAAAGGTGCTCTCCTAGGGTTCTTTCCCAATGAGCTAGCAGGGAAGTCATGGAAAAAAGGGCTGTGTCCCAAATAGACTGGTGGCTGATGTGCAATGCCTTGGTGTGCTCAGTGGAAAGCTTTGTGTTTCCACGTGTCATTCCCAGCCCATCCCTCCTGTGTCCAGGAGAGTGTTTAAGCTATTAAGTCACAAGCCTTTCTACAGGAAACAGTTGTTGAATGAATATATAAACATTAATCAAAGCAGGAACTGCAATCTGCATTTTTTCACTTCTGTTTGAGGGCTCTGACCACAGGCCATAGGCATGCTGCTTGTGGGACGTCCAGCCTCTCTCATCCCTGAACTCTGTAATCGTTTTGCATGAAGTGCCTCTCCATAGCCTGGAGTGGGCTGTGCAGTGGTGAGGGTGCATGCCTAAAGAATGGGAAATGTGTTTTTTGAGATCACTGAGTTGCCGGGATGCTCCTCAGCAGTGAAGCTCAGTGACTGTGGGTGGGCTGTGAAGCAGGAATGGAAAGAGCCCAGCCAGCAGCTTTGTCAGAAGGGGAGGCAGCAGCAAGGCTTGGGACTTCCCGGACGAGATGGAAATGACAGAGTGGATTTGAACTCAGGCTTCAAAAGTCAGAGCTAGGTGGGACTTGGGACTCTTTTTATGGATCTGGCCCCTGGTTACTAACCGGTGCTGCCTGTAAATTGTTCTTCCTGAAGCCTTTTGGGCTGCTGGTCTGATTTTGTAAAAAAGCAGCAGTTCAACTGCTGACAAGAGTATGGGGAGCTCACAATGCCCATAGGTCATTAATTCTTGAGGCTGAATTTACTGAAGAGATAATGGATGAAACCTGACTCTGCTAAGCTCTCTGCTCCTTTCTAGCAATGTTCAGTAGTTAATTTAAATCTCACTTAGGAACTACTTGTGGCATTAAAAGTCCTCCAGGCATACTCTGTTAAACTTTTTTTTTTTAAATAGCCCTGTCCAGAATGCCATTAGGATGTCATATATCACTTCTGAATTTCCTTTCCTCACTTTGATGATGGCACGGAAGTTGGTGGCAACAACTCAGCTGTGTGCCAATAAGTTGTTCCCTTCTGCAACATTCATTCCCTGATGCCAAAACTTAGCTTTCATGGTCTGTCCCTACGAAAGGTGTGTGGGTTCCTTTGACCCAGCACCATCACAGAATGAATTAGGTTGCAGACTCCTCTTTGGGTAAATAAAAGTAACTTTTCCCTTTAAAATCCTGATGTTATAACATTTCTCTCACTTTTTCCTCTTCTTCAGAACGTATCATGGCTAGAGGAGAAGGAGAAGGAGGTCGTCAGTGCGCTGCGCTACTTTAAGACGATTGTGGACAAAATGGCAATTGATAAGAAAGTATTAGAGATGCTGCCAGGCTCAGCAAGTAAAGTGCTGGAAGCCATCCTGCCCCTGGTGCAAACTGACCCACGCATCCAACAAAGGTAGCTTTCCTTCTTGGGTTTTGGAGCTATGGAAGACCAGCAGGCTCCTCAGCTTCTTTCTTTTTTTGTGTATTACGTGGCATGTGAGTTGGAAAACGGTATAGTAACAAATAGGTTGACTGCCATTTTTATGAAGTGGTGTATAATTTTCAAGCACAGCTTAAAAACAGACTCCATGCTGTGAAGAAGTCCATGCTATGGAAAGATAAAACAACTTAGAATGGTTTTAGAGAGGAGGAAGGAGTGATTCTTAGCATAAACATTTGTAATTTACTGACTCTCTTCAGATTCTTTACTATTTTTGAAGTCCACAACGGGATCCTAAAAGCTAACAAATTCCAGTAGTTTCTGCCTGAAAAGGAACTTGTCTTCGGGGTAATCTCTTTCTGCATTCAATTCATCCATACTGATAAAAGTCAGCCTACACTGTTAGTTTATTGTTAGTTTTTTACTTTATTTTACTGGAGTAGATACAGAACAGAAATAAACAAATGTACTTCAGTAGATCAGCCAGTCCAAGTTCATTCCTGTGTGCTCTCCACAGACTGATTATAGGTTTGCTCTGATGCCTGCTGTATTACATTTAAGCCAGTTAGACAACGAGTTTGAAGTCAGAAAAGATGTCAGAATTGGCCAAAGCAAAGCTCGACATCCATTGAAAGAATCTGTGGTGTCATCAAGCCACAGCGATCTGTCCGCCTGCTGTTTATAGGTGATAGAGAAATTGATTTAAAAGAAAAAATATATATATATAATTGAACAATAAGGAATAAGCAATACTACTACACATGCAAAATCAGGCAGAGAAATGCATATATATATATTTATAATTGTTTTTGCTGAATCCTGCTGGTTTTTGCTCGGTTCCTGTTTTCCCAGTAAGTATCTCCAAAACTTTTGTTTTCGAGATGTTCAGTACAATTGTGCTGCAAGAAAGTTTTATGGTACGGTCAAGACAGCTGTAGGGTGCCAATATTTTATTAACAGAGATGTTTAGTGCTGCCTGGTCCCAGTACATAGGGCATGCTTTTATCTGATAGCACAAAAGGAAGGAGACAATGGGTGAGTACCAGAGCTGTGACTGAGACAGGGGGGCTGCAATTTAGGTTGGGTTTGTGGAAGTACAAAGAGCAATAGCTGTTAGAATTGGAGCATTCATCAGGCTTCTGGATTCAGGCACAAAAGTTTCTTCCGTTGCTATCAGGTTTCCTGCAGTCATTAAATTCCTGACAAGCACCTGCTTTCACTTAGTGAAAGAGAGAACAAACTTTCCTGTTACATCAGGAGAACATGTAAAATGTCAGCAAATATTTTTAGGATAGAAAATGTCATCTTTGTAGTCGCTTGCTTTGATTTGTGTATCCGCTGGGTGATCTTTCCTTCCAAGAATATATTGGAAATAAATATCAGCTAAGTGGTCTTCAGCAGCAGCAGTATTTCAAATGGCTCTATTCTTCAAATTCCTTGTACCTTTTCCCTTAGAAGTGAGGTAATATAACCTTGACAGTTGGATATCCACATTTAGCCTGTAAGCAGAATTTTGGTAGTCAGTAGAGTCTTCCTTACTTAGTGATGAATCTCTCATTCTGGACTGCAGCACAGATCCCTTGTGTATGTTCTGCCTTGTTTGGCTTTGCAGAGAAAAAGGGGATTTGTCATTCTCTAAAAGCCATGTCCTTTCATGACTACATATGCACTTTATTTATTTTGAGTAGTGGCAGGACACAAAGGGGTGCTTTTGATGGTAAATCCCCCTCAAGAAAAGAGAGCAAGACTTGTGTCAGTGTGGAAGAAAGCCCTACAATTACTGTTGGACTCCTTTTTGCTTTAGGGGGAGGGTTTGCATCGAGGAAAAAAGTAATTAAATCTAGCACAAAATAGGCTTTCAATTACTGCCTCCTTAGAAGGAAGCAGACCGAAGATTAATCACAAAGAATCAAAGCCAGAGAAAGAGATGGAGGAGGACCCTATTTAGGAAATATCTCCTACTAAGTTAATTTCATTTAAAATTAGAACAAATGGCAAGCACTGTGCTTATAAAACAAACAAACGAAGAAGACCTTGCTGCTGTCTGTATCCCTCTGGCTGTAAGCTGGCAGTGGTTGTATCCCTGGTTCTGCAAACAGCTCTCACCTAAATAATCTCACTCAAGTTTGTGGGTTTGGTGCTCTTCTCACAGATAATGAAATGACTGGAGTTAAGCCAGTGTCAAATGGGTGCCAGAGAGAAATGGGATGATTCAGAATGCTCGTATCTGTGATGATGGCAAGATTGCACCTTCTCTTATCTCTTTATGGTTTTGATGCAGTTTGAAATTGATTTAATTTTACAAAGAATTGCCATCAGCAGTACTGTTAACACACCTTGTTTAGTAATGAAGTGTTTTCAGAGCAGCCAGGAAAGTGCCTCTGAGCGCTGCTGTTACGGTTAACTTTTATTTAGGGTTGTCGTCCTTCCAAATTTCACTTCTTTTCCTTCAGAACAATGGCTTGGATTCTGGTTCTCATTAAAAGCAAAACAAAACAACACCCTTCCTCTTCCAAACCTGAAATTCATTCAGCTCAGATTTTGTGAAGAAGCGGGTTTTAATTGCTTGTTTTCAGGCATTATAAGCAGTGGGAAAATTATTTGTAAAGGAATGATGCAGTCAGCTTGCAGTTATGTAAAACGTTTTCTGAGGGGAGTTAAGAAAGAAATCATAGATAGCACTGAAATAATATCAATTAGACATAAAGGCAGGATACGGTAGTTACCTTTGAAGTTGAGGCAAAGGATGGGGGTGTGGATTAAAAGGGAAAGAGCATTCTTCTTAGCTTTGCTATGTTAGCTTGCAGCTCAGATTATTAGCTGGTTGTACTTTCATGCTGTTTTTCCATTTGGCTCTAAAGAACAGGAGAGCAACTGCAACGGAGCTGGAAGCCCAGGCTTTGTCACCTGCTGAACACAAATCATGAATGTCAGAATGGAAAGGAGAACCACAACAGTGGATAGTGTCAAAATAATTTTAACAGGGTGAAATGCACTTTAGATCGTGCTCTCTCTAGTAGCATTTGATAGTATCTCCGTAATTGATTTTTTTTTTTCCTTTTTTCTTGACTATTTCCTTCCCTGCCATCCAGTTCTGCCATCTCATCCTGCTACAGCCGTGTGTACCAGAGCCTGGCCAATCTCATTCGCTGGTCTGATCAAGTGATGCTAGAAGGTGTGAATTCTGAAGACAAAGAGATGGTGACAACTGTTAAAGATGTCATAAAAGCTGTTCTGGATGGAGTTAAGGTACGTGAGACAAGTTATAGAAGGCATACAAGCCTGTATTCTGGAAGAGATCTAGCTGAAAGTCTGAAGCTTTTAAGTGCTGGTAAGATCCTGCTCTTTCAGTAAGCTTACCTCTTACATCAACTGCTCTGGAAGTGAAATGGTCCTGCTTGGTATACTGGTTAAAGACCAGCATTAATGGTTTGGCTATTAGTGTGCACTTCTAAGTGTTCACCCTGGCATTTGGATGGATTGCCCGAAGCAGTAAATCTTAATTGAGCATTGTATTGGATTTTCAGCAGGTAATTCCCATTCTCTTCGTCTCCTATGCAGATTACAGGTCTGAGTTTGCATGTTTTTTTGTCTAGACAAAAATTAATGGAAATGCTTCCTGTCAATGCCCATAGAGAATCGAAGATTCCAGCTTCATCTTTTAGCATGAGTGTCAAAGTGTTTGTCAGTGATACATCACTACTTTCAGCAATCAGTGAGAGTGTGGGACAGCTGATGAGCTAAGCTCAGTTTTCTGAAGATTAATTCTTTGTAACTAATAGAAACATTGAATGGAAACCTTTGTGTCCTTTGTGAGACATGCTTATACAGTTCCCTCCCTGCACCACCCAGGAAAAGCTGTTGGCTTTCCTTCTGTGTCCCAATAAGTTTTTGGTATTCATTATTTGTGACCGTTTTCCAGACTTGCCTCTCTGCTGAAGGCTACAGAAGCCGTGCATTCAGCTTCCCAGTACTGGAGTTACAAGTTTTCTTGATCTGGACAGGGAGACTGTCATATCTCCTAGGAATCTTATTTTGAATACTGTAGAGAAGGTTGAGCATCTTTAAAAAGGGCTGAACTGGCAGAGCAGTGTTTAGTTCAAGTATAGCAGGTAATTCAGATTTTTAAGAGCTGCAGCAGGTTCTTCAACTGGAAGAGTGTGTCAGGAAAGGCACACTTTGAGACTGTACTCAAAGTCCATTTAGTTTTTATTATCTGGAATTGAATGTGAAAATCCAATGAATATCCCAAGCTTTGACTATCGTGCTTTCAGGAATCCTGATATATTATTTGTGTGCTCTGAATATCTGTAATGTTGCTCAAATACAGATACTAAACCCTAGTGTGACTTATCAATCCTTTAAAACAAATATCTTTGAAAGAAAACATTTCCATCACCTAAAGTGGACAGATTTTCTAGGATTATTCTGCACAATATGCCCTTTAACTTTAAGCTCCAGATTTGAGAAGTAAAGCGGGTATTAAGTTTGCACAGCAGGATGGAGAAGAGTTCAGCATTAAGTCTCAGCTTCTGTTAGCGTTGCAACTCAGCAGCCATTTGCAGTATATGAAAATCTGTACTCTTGACAGCTGAACAGAAGTAGCCTGATAAACAGTGCGAGAGTTCACCCTGTTATCACCTAATGAATCTACGGTCCCGTGTTATCACTAGATCCAGATTACAGTTGCATGAAATTTGGGACACCCACTGTCCTTTCACTTCAAGCAAGGTTTAAGTACCTGATACCAGTTGCTTCCCAAGCAAAGCAGTGTGCATTGGATGGATGGATGGATGAATAAGTGGATGGAAGGTCACAGATGTCTGCTGAGCCAGCCTAGGCTGGAAGCAGTGCAGTGCTAAGCCTGAGCTATTAACCTCACTGAGCTGTAGCAGTCTCCTCTTGCTGCTAGACTGCAAGTTATTTTGGCCTTCCAGTTGGAGCTGGTTTATGTCTGGTCAGCTTGGAACACAATGAGAGCAGATGTGAGGCTGTCTGGGTAGAAGTGAACGTCTGCCCAACCAAGACTCAGTGTTTAGAAGTGCTTTGTACTCATCTCCTACTGCATAGCAAGGAAGGTTTATTTTAGAAGGGTCAAGCCAGCCTTCAGGTCTGGAAGCAGAACTGAGAAGCTGGACACTTCTCTGCTGTGGAGAGACTTTTTTGTTTTTCTGGCAGATCACACAAGATCCACTTCCACATTTGAGTGTTTACTTCCCCCTTTATTTTCAGAATCGAGCACAAATGACTTGCTTGTTCACTTGTGCTGTTTGCTGTTTTGATCACAGGTTTTAGTGCATTGCCAGCAATATATAACAGGGGAAAAAAAATCCTTGTTTTGATTACATAACTTCTTAAAAATCCATCTCATCTTGGAATTTCCAGTTTGCTGAAGTAATATAAGTTTGTGGAGAGGCTTTAATTATCTCTAATTACTGCTGCAGGAATCTCTTTACTTGCTGATAAGGAACAGCATAATGTGCATCTGGCTCAGTTGCATGCTGATTACCTCTGTGTGTACATTGAAGATCTTGGCTTGATTCTTAAACGCTAGTTCTCATTCTGGGGTTCGTGGAGAGGAGAAAAAGCCAGGATTCAAGGAATCCAGTGCTTTTGTGCTTCTGCTAATCAAGGTGCTTCTCAGCAGGTGCCATGTCTGTCCCAGACAGGAACATCTTCATAGTGATAGCCCAGATGGCCATCTGTATGTGCTGTGCTTGTGCACTCTTATCCTTCCCCATGTGTGGGCTTTTCCAAGACAGTTTCTTTAAAGCTGTGCATTTTGTTGTGCGTTTGGTGGACTCTCTGCAAATTATTTTTGTGCCCAAAGTCATACCAAGAATGTAAGTACATACATAATGATATAATGGCCAAGTCAAAATTAGTTGTGCTGTGCACTTGGACATGTTGAAATGGGTTGTGGTTTCCATCCTTTACACATCCGGGGAGCTACTTTATTCTCTTTGTGATTATTGTATTGGAAGAGGAAATGACCATTTCTGACCTCAGCAGACACAGACGTGAAGATGATACTGGAATGATGACATTGTATTTCAAGCTGCTAATAAATAAAATTGATCCCATATAATTTCCTTTGCATAACATGCTGGGAAGTCAATAGTGTCAGGAAGCACTGCCAGTTATGCAGCCTAACTGTGAGAGGGCACGTGTTTGTATCTGTGAGCAGCAGATCTATTTGTTGGCCTCAGACACCCATGAAAAGTTCTCTCCATCCTTCTGGAATGAGTGATTATTGCTTTGACTGCTGGCAGACGTGGAGTTCAGGATTATCATGCACTTATCTCTTTATCTACCACCTTATCTGCCTACAGCAGATACGCTGTAATAGTTCCCTGAATGATGAAGACTTTCTTTGCTAACAAGTTAAAAGATGGCTCCGGGGGGAGCAGGCCTTTTAATAAAGGTGTTCACTATTTAATTTCTGGTTGGACGTCTTTCAGAAACCAGTCTTTTGAAACAAATACATGACACGCACTTGTTCGTGAACTATAAAGCAGTGACATAACTCTTTTACTGGCCAACTGAAATACTTCATGCAAAAAGCATTTATGTACTTGTATTTATGTATGTAAAGTCAACTTGATATTATCTAGGGCATTATGGGGACTGGAACATATTTGTGATGAAAGAGGAAGCACAGCAAAAAGAAATGTATGTGGGTTTGTTCAGAATCCCCATAGGGCTACAGTTTGTGAGTTTAGATATGGTTAAACTGCTGCTGGGTGCATGCTGTTCCCTTACCACCTCATTTGTGTGGCTCTCCACTGAGCTTACACTCAGCTCAGTTCACTGCCCATGTCAGCATTAACCCCTGAGTGGGTACCCAAAACTTTATTCCAGTAGAATCCTGTTCTGTTGTAGCATGTTTGGGTGCAACATTATGCATCTAATGATTCTTTTCTTTTTCTTCTCTCCCTTCCATCCACCAGGAGCTGGTCAAACTGACGATTGAAAAGCAGGAGCATCCCTCTCCCACAAGCCCTGTTAAACCCAGCTTACCAGCATGTAAATCTGATAGGTGGGTCTCTTACAAACATTTCTTGTGCATGCCAGTCCAGTATAGAAGCTTGATGTGAGGTAATTTCTGGTTACTGACTGATAGTTGGATTAAAGTACTGAGTTGTTTTCCACAGCAGACAGTGTTGTGTTCTTCATGTAGTCTTATGCATTACAGTGGCATTACTCCAAGAGAACTTTATGCAGTGATAGAGAAGATACCAAAATCTGGCAGTGAAACATCACTTGGCTGTGACATGTCCACATATTATTCTGTGTATGCTTCTAATTTTACTTGCAGATGTGAATTCTTCCTTCTGCTGTAGGTTTCTCTTATTGCCTATGATTTAAAAATATATATTAATCTGTCAGCATGCTGCATTCTGACTGCATTTTGTGATCTGCAATCTGTCTTTTGCTTGTTACAGCCCATCAGAACTTCCCCTTACAGACCGAGAAATGGAGATCCTGAGCAAAACAACTAATATGACTCAATCGAATGAGCTACTGACGGACTCCATGGATGAAGAGGTTGCACCTCCTAAACCCCCTCTGCCTTGCATTCGTGTGGCAGAAAACAGGTAATGCTGGCCAGCCAGCTGGCTGAAGAGTGGCAGTGGCTCTTAGCATCTTGTTTGTTATACGTTCTTGTCAAAATGGGTACATGAGATCACAGGGGTTAGTGATGCTTCTGAATTTCCAGTCCTCCTGAGTAATTCTTCCCAGCTCCTGGAATCTGCTTATGATTTTATGTTCTTTCTGCCTTGTTCTGAGCACTACCCTTCATTGTCTGTGTTTTCCTTTCCTGTTTTTTTCCCCCATGAGGACGGTACAGTGCCTGAGACTTTCCTATGAGAGGCACTGCATAAATGCATGAAAGCTTTTATTGAAGACTATGTAAATACACACCATATTCTGTACAACTCTGCACAGCAGTATCCTGTGCTGCTTTAGTTGTGTGTGTACTATTGTATCCAAAGGAAAATGCTTTGTTAACCTCAGTTGGCAATTGTCAACCTGTTCTGCACATCCAGGTGGCTCTACATTGGTTGTCAAACTAAGAGTGAAAGGAGCTACTACTGTGTGAAAAAGCTCTTTTATTTAGTTGTACTTACCCAGTCCTGTGAGTAACCACATGAAAGTTTCTATGTTCTATTTTGGAAGGAAGAGAAAACCTCCAGTTTACAGCTTTTTGGTGTATGTATGGTGTTTTTCTCCTTTAGTACTGGTGCTAATAGATGGTGTGAAAATGCTTATCATGAGCTCATTTGAAAATGCAGCATCAGGGGGACTGTGGCTGGCAGAAAAACACCACATTTCTGGGTATTTTATGAATTCTCATGGGCTATATATATATAAAAAAATCCTGTTACGTTCCAGGAACAGAATATGTGTGCTATTGGGAACTTCACAAACTTGATGATTGCCAGAATTGTCAGTAGAAGCAAAACTTAAATACACAGTGGTTAAAATCTCAGTGGTTACTACTAATGGGTGTATGATAATGTATCTGCAACTGATGAATGCCACAACTTGGGCCCATGCAGCATGTATGTGTGGTGACACTGACTTTCCTGTTGCTTCAAGGAAAAGGGCACAGAGAATTTTCCTGTGCTGTAGGTTGCTACAGCTTTGAAACCCCTCTCAAACCTAAAAAAAGTTTGAAGAGGAGGAATGAAAAATTTCTGTGAACTGAAACCTTGTTCGGGTCAACCAAAACATTTAATTTGGACTTCCACCACTTTTATATAAAAATAATTGCTGTGCTAATTAGCTTCATTAAAAATAATTTTTAAAACAGCAATTATTTTTGTTTCTGAAATACTGAGTCTTCTCCAAGCTTAAAAAAATACATCACTGAACAGGACCTTTCTTGTGAGAGTGTTGTTAACTCGGTATTTGTTAGGGTATACTCTTTGTTGGATACCTCCAGGTCAGCTTTGGATGTGAGCTTTTTCATCCTGGCAAGGCAGAGGCTATCTGAAAAACAAGCTCCTGAAGCCTCTGAAAGTCTTTTTGGTGGTAATGGAAGCATCAATACCTGTTGTGTCTTGCAGTCCTCCTCCAGCCTTGCCCCCTAAAAAACGGCAGTCGGCGCCTTCCCCAACCAGAGTGGCAGTTGTGGCCCCCATGAGTCGAGCCACCAGTGGATCTAGTTTGCCTGTTGGAATCAACAGACAGGTAATGGCATAAACGCTTTGTGAAATCCAAAGGAAATATCCTGCAGAAAAGCTCAGGGAAATGCTGTGCAGTGCAGTTCCTGCTTGTCCCAGGCAGCCCTATATGGAACAGTGCTGGGATGGGAATTCTAGCAGCAGGAACATCAATGAAGTGAATGATGCAAAGAGCTGATTTTTGTATTTTTTTTTTCATTTTGTTGTTGGATTAGAATAATGAATGAACTGCTACCAAACTTCGTTGCCTTGAGGTGTGCAGAATGTAAAAAATCAGAATGTAAAAAGGCTGAGTGTTGCAGTGTTAAATACATCAGGGTGTACAGTGGTTTGCTGTACTTAGAAGATCTTTACTTTACGAGATATTTACTTGCAGGCCAGGGATCATGTAGCAGGTTGACTTCAGAAGACTATATTTTTCCATTTCCAGTTTAACATGTCAATTAACCTAAGCAGTAGTTTAAGCATCTGCTCTGACTGCTTCTGGTACTTTGGGGAAATTTGTAAATTTTCTGGTAGAACTACAGAAAACTTGTGACAGTGTGTATTAGTCATACTCTATCACTTGTGCTAACGTGGAGTTTACAAGATTGTAAATAGTTTGTTTTGCTTTACACCTTCAGGAACTTACTGACTCAGCAGTGAGAACTTGAATTGTGTTAAAGTGCACCAAAATCAAATCTTGTTCTCAGTCCCCAGAGCTCTGACTTAAGGAGCCTCTGCTGTCAGTTGGCTGACCCAGATAAAGCTGTGGTGGTTTTGCAGTTACTGGTGCAATCTCGTTTAGATTGATTTGCAGGGATGGGAATACCTGTGAGGTTCACTTGCAGCTTGATGAGCTTGAGGTAATTTCTGAAATTGAAACGTAGCCAATAGGCACCAAAAGCTGACGTCAGCTGTATCCCATTATCACCTGTTTACCCTTTGCGTGCACAAAACTAACCAAATATTTAATAAAGACCCAATTATTTAATGACAGTTTTTGCCTTCTAGTTACCCAGTACAAATGTCAACAGCTGGTGACATCCGCTGTGGATCACAGCATGCCCTGGCCTCCAGCAGGTGCATGCAGGGCTCCTTTTGGGGGCTTCTCTGCTGTGCCCTTTACCCAGTGGGAAGCTTTCTGGCTTCCTAATGGGCTTGTCTAACTAGGGAGGGCTAGCAGCACTGATCTGCTCCCTTCCTAGTTTTCTTACAGTAGCTGCAAGTTGTATGTTCCTTGAGCTGTATCTTATTACTAGTAAGCTGCTGAGAATGATGGTAATTTGTTGTTTTGGTTGTTTGGGTTTTTTTTTGCTTCAGGATTTTGATGTTGACTGCTATGCCCAGAGAAGGTTGTCAGGTGGCAGCCACTCTTATGGGGGAGAATCTCCTCGCCTCTCACCGTGCAGCAGCATTGGCAAACTCAGCAAGTCTGATGAGCAGCTCTCTTCTCTGGACCGTGACAGTGGTCAGTGCTCCCGCAACACAAGCTGTGAAACATTAGGTGAGCTGGGCTGGGCCAGGACTCCTTCAAGAACCCTCACCACCCTCGTTTGGGAGCTGTCATAGCTGTGTTGCAGAAGTAAATGGATTGTGCTTGTGACTGTCAACTTGTAGTTACTGCAGGCAGTTTGATGCAAAATGATATCCTGTCAGATAGGAAAAAGCCCAGGGGAATATGTTTCCCTAGCTAGAGATGATTGTGTTCAAACTCAATTCAGGTCTCAAGTGGAATGTTTTGTTGGTTTCAGCCTTTTCTGCAGACATCAGTAGGAAATAACAGCACTGTTAGACTCAAGTGATGCTCCCAGGTACTAGAAAATAAAATTAAAATATAAATGTGAAATATTGCAATTAACTACCTATTGAATTTTTGTTTGCTAGTATAAAAATATGAGATTTAAGCATGGATTTTACAGAAAGTTGAGCAAGATAGTCCCTGCTGCAAGGAATTACCACTTTGATTACATGAACTTATTAGTTAACTGGTGGAATGAGATGGGCAGAACTGAGAAGGGCTGAACAGTAAAAGAGAGAAACTAACTGCTGACTCTTCTTTTCTCTCTTTTTAACCAGATCAATCAGATCACTATGACCCAGACTATGAATTCTTGCAGCAGGACCTCTCGAATGCTGATCAGATACCTCAACAGGTGCCAGGTATCCTCAGCCCCTTGCCAGAGTCCCTGGGTGAGTCTGGCTCCCCTTTCCATGGACATGCTTTCCAGCTCCCACAGGGCAGCTCTTCTCCACTGGAATTCTGCAGCCTCTCAGGAGCTGTGCAGCCAACAGAGACCCCTCCAGCTTTACCAGAAAAGAAGAGGAGAAGCGCAGCCTCTCAGACTTCAGACTCAGGCTGCAGGGTCTCATATGAGAGACACCCTTCACAATATGATAACATCTCAGAGGATGATATGCAGAACGCAGGGTCTCTCTCATCAGTACCCTGCACGCCATTTGCTCCTATTTTGCCCTTTCAACAAGGAAACTCTTCAGCACCAGTTGAATTCATTGCTGATTTTGCTGCTCCAGATTCTAACAGTGACCCAGAGAAACCACCACCTCTGCCAGAGAAGAAAAACAAACACAGTAAGCAAGATCTTGTGTTTGGGTTTTACTTTTGCCTTTTTTTCCATTTGCCATGCTTCTGACGACCACTAAGTTATGCTTAGTAATGGTAATGCCATTATTAAGCATTAGCCCAAAGGTAACACCTTTGGGCTAAGTATTGAAATTGCTCATGGTGAGTATCAGTTGTGAAAGGAAAGTGCCAGTCCTTTGGTGGACAGGGAGCCTGGAATGGTTCAGGTCCAAGGGAGGTGGCAACATTCAGCATCTTCATTACTATAGTTTGAACATTTTATTTCTGTTTGCACAAGTGTGAAGCTTTGAGCCACTCTTCTGAGTTTTCCTGGATCTTTTTCCCTTTTCATGTCCATTCTATCTCCCCCATGTTTATGAATATTTGCCCAGAAGTGGGGGTACTCTCCAAGAGCTCAGAGAAAAGGCTACTTTTCTGTCCAAAACTGAGAGTTGCCGGTGCAGTTATTTGACAACAGGAACATAGTCCCTAGCGTAGCTGTGCAGGACAGCACTATTAGCCTTGTGTCCAATACTGTTTTGCTACAGGATCTCACTTCCTGAGTGCCTGAGAATTTCCCACATCATTAAAATGACCAGCCTCTAAATGCAAAGACTCTACATTCCCAGCCACACTCCTGGCACACCAGTGCTGACTGCAATTCAAGCTCTCATGACCTTATTTTGATTTTCTTAATGTTCATGGCTGAAAATATCTGAAACCTCTTGCAAGAGGAGCAGACATACTGATCTGTCATGGAAGGCTGTAGATTACACAGTGGGATACGTTACTTTACCAGTCACTGGCTAGCTTTGCAGTTGCATGGGGAAGTAGTATATAAAAGGTCTGGGTGAGCAGCATTAAGCTGTATCGCTTGCAGCTCAAGTGAAGAGCTGATCTGAAGGTGCTGAGTTGACCTTCTGACTCATTGCCACAATTAATAGTGCTTTCACTGGGAAGAGGTGTGAGATTGGTGTCCTGTGTGGGGGGGATCTGTGCTCTGTCCATGCCTGTGTAGTTTACTATGCTAGACACTTTTTTTAAGTGCATTGACGGAAATCATCTCCTCTACGCCACAGTGATGCCTCCAGGTTTGTAACCCTCCAAGATTTTAATCAGATTGCCTGAAAGTGAAGGTCAGGTTATAGCAGTCTCATTCAGCATCCCCATTCATTGAAAATCACTTGTCCCTCTCTGGTAAGCAAACAGTAAAATATACTGAAAGCAACAAAAAAGGAGCTCAGATGCTGATTTGCAGATGGCAGAATGGAAATAAATGCTGGCGTTTGCATAGGTTTGGTTTTTATGACTCCTGCTGTTCAGAATGCTTACATTCAGTCTCAACTGCAAGGGAATGAAATACAGCAAGGAGTTTCTGTAGGGTCAGGCCCCTGTGAGCTCTGCATCTGAATAGTGAGGGCTAGATACAGGTGATGTTAAGTCCTGCAGTCTGGGGTGGGTGTGGGGAAATGAACTTCTGTACATCTGGCACTATCAGAAGGTGTCAGAGGATTGATCAGATTGCATTGTTAGGAACGGGAGAAGGTGTTACCTGATGTGTTGACAGCTCCACGGGTTTGATTAAACATCCTTGATGCAAAGCTTGCAGTAGAGTACTTGGGCTAATACCTGACTGCTGCAAATCTGTAATGGCTTTTTTTTTGACACTAAGAACTTGTTTCACATGCTTTACTCCACAGTGTACCACACCACAGATCTGTGGTTGTTAGTTTTCCTTTTGTTTTCGACACAAAAAGGGCAGTGAAACACTGTGTGATAGTGCCCAGGATTTTTTGGCCCAGGGACTGACACATGCAGACCCTCATGTGTTACCACATAGATGAGGCAGAGCTGCTTCCACAGCCCCAGCACGCTTCTGTGACCCTCAAGAGATGCATGCATGTATTAGAAAAATCCAGAGCTGTTGCAGAGATGACTTGGCTGTAGTGCCTTTGTTGTGGGTCATCTTTTGGTAGCTGTCAGGAAATGTTGCAGCTGATACTTTGGTCTTTTATAAATAATATGAGTTAACTGTGTGTTTTGCTGTGATCTGTGCTCAGAGGGACCTCCAAGAGTTGATGTCTCTATAATTTAAACAGGGGAGTGATAAACCTTTTAAATGGGCGTGAGTTACTGTTGTTCTACTGTGCTAAAGGCAAATTACTCCAGACATCTGCTTGAGCACCAGCGTCGTACTCCTGCTGTACAAGACATGGGCAGGGAACAGCTTCTGCCATGAAGAGCCTGAAATCAGAAATAGCAAGATCCTGCCCCCAGCCAGCTTGCAAACCAGTGGTGAGGCACTTGCCTTTCCTTCCCTGTCAGTGCAAACAAAATGCAGCCTGGTGCCCTGTAAGTAGCCAGTATTCAACTGCAGGAACCATGCTGAGGGCAGTGTGGGCTTAGCCAGCATATAATGGGAGCTCTTTGAAAAACAGCTCTGCTCCCAGAGGTGACAGCAAAGACTGGCTTGTTCGACCTTGACTTCCCCAGTGAGTTGACATGTGGTGCAGCTTGAGAATTTCCATTACTTGGGCTCTTGCCTATGCACATGAATCCAGTGCTGTTGTGTGGGGCTGGCTGTAACACAGGCAGCACCAGCAGTTTGGCTCAGACCTGCAGTGTCTTTTCTTCATCAGATACTACTGTGCCTTATTGACATTGCAGATATACCTTGTTGCTGATAATGTTCCAGGAATCCCTTGCAGACCCCAGGAACTGCTGCTGGTCTGAGGCTGCAGGGCTCCCTCAGCACTGCTGCAGCGTGAGCAGCACCTGTGATTTTCATCATGTGGGCAGAGCTGATGTCTGCTAGAAATCCCTGAGCAGCTTCAGCTCCTTCAGAAATGACAGCCAGGGCGCTGCAAGCAGATTGCAGGGAAGGTGTTCCTTGCCGCAGACAGAGATTTTCTTATTTTTTGATTTTTTTCCTCTCCCTCCTTTCACATACTTTCTGCCTTGGTTCAGAGCTGACATAAGCTGTGCATGGTGCTGTGGTGGGAGAGGTTCTGTCTCACTCCTCCCTCCTCTCCCAAGGTGCTGTTTAGACACTGTGTCACCCCACCCCGGCTGCTCACAGTGGAGGCTGCAGCCCCCATCCCTCCCTCTTTGCAGAATCGCTGCAGGGCACGCGGCCTGAGCTGAGCTGGTGATGTAATTTCCCATCTGCTTTTTAAATTTCTGCCTCATCTGAAACCACACTAGGGAGTGGGGGGGAAGAGGAGAGCCTTCGCAAACAGCCATCTCAGGAGTGGTCCTGCTGCCTTCCTCTCCTGCTGAAGATCAGCAGCGTTTTATTGATGCCTATTTAATTTGCGCTCTGCAATCTCTGCTGCTGCTGAGCCAGGTTTGTGTTTCACCATCCCAGCTGGTTTTTGCTTCACCTAAAAACAGATGAAGACAGAGTAGAGGCAGAGACACGCTCAGCAGCCCTGGACTAGTTGTAACAAGCGAGGCACAGGAGCTGCCATGCAGCGGGATGCATTAGCCTCATAAAGAGCAGAGATAAAAGAGCTCTTCATTATTCCCTTCCAGATTGAGTTAAGGCTCTCAACAGCATTCAGGCTCACTACCTTGAGTTGCAGTAATTCAGTTTTACACTGACATCTAATGCGCTTTTCACCAACACTTCCTGAGTCTGTAGTGCCAAACAAACTTCTGAACCCAGCAACTCCCAGCTATTGATCCTGAGATGTCTTCGGATCTGAGCAGTAAGTGCAGCACAGATTTTGTAGATAACTCTGCATGAAGACTTGGTCTGAATCTAGCAGTGTCAGCTGCGTTATAGCAGCACTGCCAAGCCAGAATTCTTGGCTTTTGTCCTAATAAGTTGATGAGCTCTAAAAATGTGATCTTTTCCCTCAAGCTCTTGTCCTCCACGCTTCTCCAAGGACCTGTATCCTTAGTTCACTTTTGCCACTAGGGAAATACATTTCCTAAGATGTGTGCAGAACTTACCCTGCGAAGCAGCTGTGTGATACTAAGACATTTTTCAGGGCACAAGTATTAATGGGAATACTGGAGTCAACTGTAGATGCTTGAAAACTCATAGTGTTTTAGTAATTTTGTATTTTCTCACCAACACACCTTCAGAAAAGAAAGAAGAGAATATTGGCAAAGCATGCATCTTTTTACTGTTAGGTCTTAGAATTCATGTGATGCTGTATGAAAGTGGAGTAAGCTTGGACTTGGCTTATATGTGAGTGCTCATACCAGCAGGTGAGCAGACATCAGCACACACTGAGATGTGTGCATGCAGTTGGAGTTCTGTCAGTCCCCCCTCAAAAAGGAAGGGGTCGAGCACCAGGGATGGTGCCTGACATCTCTGTGTGATGCTGGGGGGGAGGCTGGGGGAGGAAGAGGAGCTGGGCTGGTGTAGCTGAAGGTCAGGAGTGCAGCAGCTTTGGCAGAGCTCTGCAGGAGCTGGCAGTGCTGTGGGACATGGGCAGCTCGTCCTCTGGCAGCACGGTGTGGGGTCATGGGATGGGGACAGCAGGTGTTACCGCTCGGGATCGAACTGTACCAGCTGGGGTTTCCTGAGCTTTTTTCCTTCTTTATTTGGTTTTCTGGAGAAGGGATGTCATTGGGTGGGAAGGGGCAGCTGCTTTAGCTCCGTTTCTAAGCAAAGTTTAAAGCACTAGAGGAAATGTGAAAAAAGGTGCACATGGCAGGTGCAGAGCGGGTCCTTCCTGCCGGCACGCTGCACGGCTGCATCCTGTTTGCAATAGGCTGGCCTGCCTGGCAGGTGAACAGAGGGTTTTGCCTTGGAGCTAGTGTGGGAACCAGCTTCACAATGCCCAAATACTGCGCTGTGATGGCTGTATTTACAGCTCTCACTGAAATCATCCATTCATGTCAGCTGCGCAACTGAAATGCTAGCAGGAGCTGAATAATTGCTGCCTAATGACCAGAGTTACAAAGCCTGACAACTGCGTGTTTATCAGGAGGAGGGGATGGATGATCAGAGAGTAATTTGTACGTGACAGCGTATTTGCAAGTCCCTGGTTAGTTCTACTTATGACATTTAAATACAATTATTGTTCCAGTTCTCAGATCCATAGATGAAAGTTACGTATTTTTCATCTAAAGATATTTCTGTCCCTTAATAATTCTGGGGTTTTGTAGTAATCTTTCCATGATGCTGGATGTCTTTCTCCTTCCACACTGAAATAGTAAGCTAATCTTTTTGTCAGATCTACATAGGCAGACTTGTATGGGACTTTTTCAAGGATTTTTGGAGGATATTGTACAGATGTTAAGGTCCATGAAATAAGGCTTCATCCCATTCAATAGTTTCACAAAACCAAATCTCAGAAATGCTTTTAAACCAGCTGCATTCATTTGCAAATGTAAAGATGCTAAGATGCCTTGGAAAGGGAGAGAGCTGAGGATGCTGGATTTGAGCTGAGGAAGAAAGAAATCATGGTCAATGACTCTTCTAAGAGATCAGTCTGTTGTGCCAGCAGTGGCATAGAAATAGCTGAGAGAGGTGTGCCCACTGTTGCAGGTAGGTGTTCTCCATTGAATTTCATCAGCTTGGTAGGATAGAGAAAGCACAATCTCTAGAATGAGAGCTTGCAGTCTGTCTATAGATAGGAGACTTATTATAGGCACAAGAATTATCTGCTGTTGAGGTTGCATCGTTGTGCAAGACAATTTGTACCTCCTGCAAAGCAGGCTGCAGCCATTCTTTCTTTTGGTGAGTTTGAGCATTAGCTGCTGAGCAGTGTTCTCTGGATTGCCATGGGTTACATGAGGGAGGGGGCTTGGGCCAAGAATGGGTGAATCAGACTCCTTGGGTCGCTGTTAGGAGACCTCACTGGTTTAAGCCAATCTGTTGCCAAACGTGTTGTGCACTGTGACAGCTTCCATTGTGCACTGGCTTGCAGGACACGATTCACATTCACAAATTCATTCCTGTGAGGTGAATGGCAGCTTGCTGTGTGAGTTACTGCAGATACCTTGCTGCTCCTGGCCTGGAGCAAAGCCCAGCTGAGAGCAGCATGGTCTTACTCTTCTTTTATTTTGAGGGCAGGCACTCTGCCTGCTCGTGGCAGGATAGCTGCAGCACGCAGGCCAGGAGCACTGAGTGTGACTTTTTGTGTTGCAGTGATGGCGTACATGCAGTTTGTAGAGGACTACTCAGAGCCACAGCCATCCATGTTCTACCAGACCCCGCAGAACGAGCACATCTACCAGCAGAAGAACAAGCACCTCATGGAGGTCTATGGCTTCAACGACTCCTTTATCAGCTTAGACCCTTCTCAAGATCTGGCACCCCCTCCTGCTCTCCCACCGAAGCAGCGGCAGCTGGTGAGTGACACCACAGTGCCCTTCCCAGCCCCTCCTGGAGCAGCTCTGCGTTTGCTGCTCCTGTTTTTGACAGGCTGTGGTTGTGGGAGGGGGTCTCACTGATGTTGTTCACGTTGTGTTCCTTGCCATCTCAGTAACGTGTTTTTAGGCATTTTGCATCGTCTACTTTGAGCTGTTCTGTTCTTTTCTAACCCTACATTCAGACTTTTCCCCTAAAAATGAGATGTTCGTCTTCCACATGGCATAGCTGAATCTGTGCCAGACTAGAGACACATGTAATGTCTGTTACTTTGAAGATTTTGACACGCTGGGCAGCACAATTCTGAAGAGGTTGCTGCACTGTTGTTCCCAATGTTGTTTTGCAACTGTTGTCAAGGATGCCACTGGTAATAACCATTTAAACATAATCACTGCTTTTATGGCTCCATCTTTGCCAGAGCCACAGAACTTTGGTACAGCTATTATTTAACTCCTGCATGTTTTTCCTACGTTAGTCCATGTGTGTGATTCAGGACTACCTGTTTTTTTCGCTGCTACCTGACTTAGATTGGCCATGGCTGTAACAAAACAGGATGAAATACAGGAGCAGAGCCATGCTCTTGTCATCATGATGGCAACTGTCACAATGCATCCTCATGTTATCTGTGCTAAAATGCCCCAGTGTTACTTTTTAATCAAGTAGCAGAAGCTACACAGAGGTCTAATTTGGGAATTCAGTAAGTACGTGCCTGTGGCACAGGTAGGTGTCCTGACAAGATAAAGTAACGTTTCTGGTGAAGTAAACTGAGTATTATGCAGTTTGTCAATGGAAGCAAAGCATTTCTTTGCTGCCCTTTAATCATTATCTGGGCAGCCAAGATGTCACCATTCTGCTTGTCAGGTATCCTCCTAGTTTTGCAAGCTGATGCTATCAAGGTGTTGCTTGCAGTTCCCCTGAAACAGAGGTTTCTTAAAATGCAGCCTTGTGCCTCTGCCTTCATCTCCAGTTGGGAAGGTGATGCAAACAGAGAATGGCTCATTCAGCAATCACTGGAAAAGCCATCAGGTTCTATTGTTCCTCTGCTCCCACTGCTCTGAGAGATTCTGAAGCAGCAAATCATGGGGACATCAGCTGCTCCAGCAGCGGGGAGGTCTGCTGGATGGACTCCTAAAATAATAATTAGGAAGTCTGTTCTTGCAGGCTTCATAGCTTGTATGTGAAATGTTTGTATGTTATATTCAACAGGTCAGAGCTGAGAAAGCCTGGATACAACTTGGCCTCCCTCAGGCCATTAGTGTAGTGGAATTCAGGAGAAATTCCTGATAGTATTTGTTATTTACAGAGTAATATCTCCCTCTTTTGCAAACGATCTGTCATTTAGAATTGGACTGAAAATTTGCTGGGTGTCCTGTTAAGCAGTATTCCAGCAGCACCTGTGAAGGCCTGCAGGCCACACTATGCAATCCCAAGTTTCCAATCTGCAAATGGGCCAAAAAAACAAGACCACAAAAAACTGCTCATCTGCAGGAGTCAGCTGCTACCCAGCTGAAAGGGGCAGCTCCTTGCTGGGCAGCTGCTCCTACCCATACCTGCTCCTTTGGGCATCTGCCCCTGGTGCCATGGAGAAGAAGGGCAGTGAGGAGCAGCATGCTTCCCCCTGGCACAGCTGTCTTGGGCTGTTTATTTTTAAGGGATTTGTGAAACAAAGAAGATTTGAACTGTGATTTTTGACACGCCCCTTGAGTACAAGAAAGGCACGTTGGTGTGTCTGGCTCTGATGAACTGTATGAATAGCTGTTTGCTTAACAAGCCATTATATGCGTTGTTTTACAGTTAGCGTTTCTTACCCTTTATTCATAGCCTTTTCTGTGCTTTCTTTCTTTGTTTCTCCCGTCTCTTGCTTTCTCCCCCTCTGTTCAGCAGGCCTCCTATGCTGCCTCTTCTTTCCCTTCTGTCTCCTACTGTGTCCAGCAAACTAAAGTGCCCTTCACCCCCGAGGACACCGGTGCTGCTCAGGGCCTCACTATGTCAGTCTCTAACTCCTTTCTCAACCGGCACAGCTCCTTTCCTGTGCATTCGGTGAGTTGCTCTCCGTGCTTCTGTAACCTGTGTGTGTGTTTGTGCTGGTGATGAAATGCTCATCTGCAAACCCTGTGCTAATGCTGCCAGTTCTGGGTGAGGTTCTGCGGTGGGGGAGGGAGGGTTGAACTCAATTGTTGTAAGGCAGGTGATGAAAGCGCTGTGCAAATCTTGCTAACTGAAATACAGGGCAAATGTGGCTTTTGTGCTTGTGTCTGTGTTGGGACTGGGAGGAGATCTGGCCTGGGTGCTCAGGCACTCTGCTTTGACCTGCACACCCCCAGGCTGCCAGTGGCACTGCACAGTCTTTTTGTTCTGCTGCATAACGCCAGCCATGTGAATGAGCCTATTAAGTACTGCTGTGTGAGCCTGGCCTTCGGAGGAATAACGAGATGCCATCCTCGAAATAGATGGGTTTAGCCAAATGCATGGAACAGTGGATATGGCTCCTTAATTTATTTATTTTTTTCCTAGAAAATGGCCTCTGCCACATCATTCATGTCATATTTGCTTGTCTGCATCTCTTCGCATCTCTGTGGTCCCAAACAAGCTCAGATTTCTGAGTTGCACTGATGAGCAGTCAGAACCACAGGAGGAGCTGAAAATTATGTAAACTGAAATAAGAATAATCTTACAGCACTGCCTAAATCTATAATCAGCTGCTTAAATTAAATGGTAGCAACAACAGAGTGTTAATGTAATGAAATTAAATCTAACCATGGAATTCCAGTGGCTCAACAGTGTGGGAAGTGTTTGCATGTAGAACTGTCTGGTTGTGATCTGATTGCCTGCATGATGATAGCTGAGAACAGACTTTTTTAACAGCAACGTGGATGTTTCATAAATTACACTGATTTTGGAGAAGATGTTATCAGGCAAGAGCAGGGAAAACTCAGAAGTGCTTTAGTTTAATACTGAATATTTGAAAACTATCCTCCCACTCCATCACTGCTGTCTTCACATTTCAACATTTACTCATTCTCTAAAAATGAATGACAGTGATGCTGTGTGCTGGGCCTGAAGAAGGAAGTACTCAAGGACGAGTGTGTCAATTCACATGCAATGAATGAAAGCTTCTGGCTTCCTTTGGTGTGAGAGAGAGCAGTGTGGCATAACCTTGGGAGCAGGGAAGCTGAGGTGTGGTGAGGTTGGTGCTTGCATAAATATGTGGAAAACAGTTTTAAAATCTGAACTGAGGCAAAAGTTGTTAACTGTACAGTTCTTCATTACACAGAACTGTAATCCAGATAAAAGCATGTCACTGGTTTTGTTTTAATTGAGAGGCTATAAATAAGACACCGTAATGTTCTAAAAATACCTGGGCACTTCCACTTTTAGAAGTGTCCTGATTTAAGTGGTTACTGCATACTTAACAATTCTGAACTGTTCTGATCTTGATTCAGACTACATTATTCTGAATATGTTATTTGATGAAATGCTAAAATCACATTAGAAAATCCTTACTTCTGCAAGGATTTGGTGAAGGGAAAAGAAATGGTTGAAGTATGAGTAACGGTGAGAACAGTTGGGCAGTGCTCTGTCAGGTGCACAAAGAAAGTAAACTGAATTAAAAATGGTGACTTCTCTGTTAATGCCTTCAAATAACGGTAATCTCATGGTCTCCTTTCTGACAGGCTGAAATGCTATTTTCATTTGACAGCGTCTCTTTGTCTCTGAGCTGCAAAATACCAATGTCCTTACATACTTCATAGCTGACCCATATAATACTATAACCGTGGTTTATCCCATTTTCCCCATCTCTAATGAGACAGCAATGTGAAACAGCTGTTAAGGCTTGGATCTCTCCCAGGGTGACACCCTGTGTTCAGCACTCAGCCAGACCAGAACCCTTCCTGCATTCTGCTCCTGGGCATTGCCTGTAATGACTGTTTCATACAAGGGATGCTGTGATCTGCACTGCACTCCTGTCATTCTCATGTCTTCATTTTCCCCACTCTGTCTCGAGCAAGTGCTGATGGTGAGCAGTAAATATGGTAAGAGCTGAGCATTAGCTATCCACTGCTCCCAGCAGGGAGGTCAGTGCCAGAGTGGCACCTTTCCCCACCAGCCATCTGAGGAGCTGCCCTCCTGCATACCCAGATCATCAGTGGAGATGGACGGCAGGGGCAGCCCCACCTAGCTCTGTGCCAGTCTGTCCACGTGAAGGCAGCAGGAAGGCTTGAGCCTACGGCAGGGCTTGCATGTTAGCCCTATGTCTGTGCACAAAGGGCTAGCTCCTTTCTGTTGCTTCACAGGGCTTAAAACCATCGCTTTCAGACAGGGTTCTTTACTTTTAATTTGTAATTTATAAATTTATTTTCCAAAATCCTGACTTGTTTTTCTTTCCCATCAGAGCTGCAGCCACTGCTGCAGTCCAGAAGCCACCACTGTTCTGTCTGCCCGCTGATCATTCTTCTCCCTTCTTTGTGGGAAATTATCTCACAGGTAATAGCTTGCATTGGAGTGAGGCAGGTCTTGAGCGACTGGATCAGACCCTGTTGGTTTGGCAGGTTGGGTCTGGCATTCATCAGCTCTGATTCACATCTGGCTTCTGTGGCATCAAGGGTCACATTCATAGCATGGGCTGGTACTGTAAGGAAGTACAGCATCGTCTTCCCCTCTGTCACACCATCAGATCTTGCATTGCTGGGACAACTGGGTTTTACTGCCAAGAGTCATTGTAGGGATTCCCACCTTCCCACATCTTCTGAAAGCAACTTTATTTTGTTGGACGGTGGGGAAAGGGGTGTAGTAGGGAAGCATCCTTCTTTGTTACTGTCTGCAGTAATTTTTCTACAGCAGATCACCTCCCTCCCTTCTCAGCTCCTTGTGCTGTTGCCTGGAGGTGGCTGGGCAGATGTCCCAGTGGCAGGAATCAATTCTCTTGGCTTCCTGGCAGCAGGGGAACTACACTGACAGAAGAAATCAGTCAGGAACTGAG